CGAGAATTGTGAAGAGAGAAAGAGTAAGAGAGAGAGAGGAGAGAGATGAGGAGGAGAGAGATGAGAGAGAGGCGAATGTGAGGAGAGCGTGGTCTGTCTTGTAGCCGAAGAAGGAAGAGTGTAGAGAGGCAGACAGAGAGACCGTTCGGTGTTGGTGGGGGGCGGGTAGGCGAGGGAAGAGAGTGAGGAGGTGGTGAGGGAGAGAGAGTAGAGAGAGGAGAGAGAGAGAGTGAGGAGCTTGAGAGCGACCTGCGAGCGAGAGTCGGAAGCGGGTAGAGCGAGATGACCCGGGAAGTGACCCGAGAGAGAGGGTACGAGAGAAGAGAGAGAGAGAGAGAAGAGAGGGGTGCGCACGGGATCCCCGGAGACCGGTGAAAGCTAGACGACACGAGAGGAGACGCGCGCGCGACGGCCATGTCCGTGAGTGGGCGGTAGTGTGATGGAGGGGCAGCTTACCTTCACTCAAGGCGGCATATCTTCTGGCGAAGACGGCCCACCCGCCCCGCGGCGTCGCGAGACGAGCGAGGAAAGTCTGTACCCCTAGCATACTCCTATGGTTCGCTCTTCAGTTTACTGCCCAGTGTCAACGAACCACACCGAGAATTCAGAGAGTACACCTATCTCGTTTTAGGAAAATGTCTCGGTTGGCCCGCACCCGCAAAACGTAAGCGATTTGTTTATCTTAGCCAGTGAGCAGGACGAGTGAGACGACGTGAGGTATCGGGCAGGTGCAAGAACACATCTCGACACACCACGGACCGCTCTCCCCGTGTTGCCGGAGGGTCGACCGAGAACGGGTACGGCGGCCAGAGCAGAGGAGTGACGAGCAGCGGAGGCGCCGCGTGCTAGAGAACCCCGTGCTTCCGTCTAGGTCTCGCGCATCAGCAGCGTTTGATAAACGCGCTGTCGGACTAGCCCCGATGGTTACGCTGTATATTACGCATTGTGAGGGCGTCGCTATCCTGACTGAGATGTGGGCGCGTAATCGGCTAGGTTACCTGTAAAGTACGACGACTACGAATACGCTCTCGTACGATGGCACAAAGAGATGTTAGTCAGACGGGAGTCAGACGGCAGCTCGCGGCGTATATAGTCGGCTGGGCGAACGAAGCTAGCCCGCCACGAGGCGCACCTCGCGGCGCCGGTTGGAGGCGACGGCGGCGAAGATCGACGGTGGGTGCTGCCGAAAACCTCTCGAGTTCTGCCTCCGGGCGGAACTGCACAGTCGATTCACCCGGCGGGCAGGAGCTGCCTACATAAAGGGCCCATGGAGAAGCGCGACGCTGCGGAGGGAGGACGTGGCTGGAGTATGCCGGGAGCTGAAGAAACTCGTCGACGCGGCATTACGAATTCGACGCCGAGAGCAGCAGAGCAGGTGGGTGTTGGAGGTTCAGTGACAATCTGCGAAGGTTGGCCAGCGCGCTATACGTGCTCGGCCAGGCACGCAGACGGTGGAGCGAGGCCGCGCCTGCCACAGAGTACGAGGCGATCGTAGCGGGGTGAGACGCTCGTCCGGAGCCACACGTGGGGGCAGATCGGCCAGACCGGAGGCTGGCAAAGCCAGAGCCCGGGCCGGACCCGTGAGGCCGGCACGCCGTGAGAGACCGGCAGCCAGCCGCTGGATCGCCCGGAAGAGCTAGGGCGACCTGAGCACAGGTTATGCGGGACGTCTTCGGACGGCAGAGAAGCCGACCGCGGACCGAAGGGGAGACATGTTCGAACTACCCCACGCGAGGCAGGATGCGTCTACAGGATGTGTGTGTGTGTGTGTGTGTGTGCGTGTGTGTGTGTGTGTGTGTGTGCGTGTGTGTATGTGTGTGTGCGTGCGTATGCGTGTGTGTGTGTGGTGGGAGCGCTAGCCTCGCATCTATACGTACATTTGCTTGTAGCCGATAACCACGTGATGCCAGCTTCCGTCGTTGAATGGCTGCATCACCTGCATGCTTCTCGCTGTCGCCATGTCGTTGACATCCCGTTGTAACGTGAAGATCAACGATCCAGATTTGAAAGCAAGCTTGAAAGGAAAAGACATCCGTTAACTTCTAAATTCCCGCTTTTACCCGAGTTTGACCTTGAACAACCTTGTCTCGTATGCGTGTTAACCCCCCAACCAGTAGGAGATCCCCTCCACCCGAAATATAATAAAATCAAGCCTATCCGTTAATAGATAACAAGGATAATGTTCCGACGTTCTATACGGACTAGATATGCAAAATTATATTCACCAGAGCGTATCTCTTTCATACCTCCGAATATAACCTGGCATATAGGAATTAATATATGCATAACCCTTAAGCAGAGACCTGGCATAGATCAGTGTTAGTAATAGCAACCCGTGTCACAGTTACGGAACTAGTAACATTTAAGCACGGCTGGGTAATTTTTATCGATTTCACCACAGGTGATATAACGCAAAATGTTCGAAACCAGGACTGGCTGGGGTTTCAGACTCATTTCTAAGACGCAATCGATACAAGATACAAATACAAACGAAAGCTTTAGAAAATACCTCGTATTTTCCGAGCGTGACATCGCCGGAGCCATCCACACCGAAGTTTACGGTAGAGTAGACTATGAGAGCCGATTTCTCGAAGGTCTTAAACTTCAGGTCGACGTTGACTTCCGATATTGCGAGAACCTGCGAGAGAACATTGGTCACGCATGCGTCATCCGCGCCGGATTAAGCAAGGCAATGAACAACGGTGTAGTGTGTAACGTGTGCGTACATACGCGTATTCTTGTGTACGTACATCTAATAGCGTGTGCATGTGTTAGTGTGTGTGTGTGTGTGTGTGTGTGTGTGTGTGTGTGTGTGTGTGTGTGTGTGTGTGCGCGCGCGTGAGCGCGTGTGTGCATACGTGTGTGCGTGCGTACGTGCGTGCGCGCGCGTGCGTGTGTGCGTGAGTGCGTGCATGCATACGTGCGTGCGTGCATACGTACGTGCGTGCGTGCGTGCGTGCGTGCGCTCTCGTACCTTAACTACGGCCATCGCGGTCTTGTTGAGGAAGGTCATCGGTGGCGGGGAGATGGCTTCACACTTCATCACGGGGTCACCCGTGCCGTACAGCATGACGCGCGGGGAGCGGTCCGCCAGCAGCCCCAGCACAGACGCGGCGTTGTAGTACACCTTCTTCATGCAGCCGCGATACTTGGACAGCACTTGACCTGCGTGTGCGCAGCAGAAGAGATTCGTGTTATTTGTCGTGATGGTGCGGTGTCGCGTCGCGTCGTGTCGTGTCGTGTAGTGTCGTGTAGTGTCGTGTCGTGTAGTGTCGTGTAGTGTCGTGTAGTGTCGTGTCGTGTAGTGTCGTGTAGTGTCGTGTCGTGTAGTGTCGTGTAGTGTCGTGTCGTGTAGTGTCGTGTAGTGTCGTGTCGTGTAGTGTCGTGTAGTGTCGTGTCGTGTAGTGTCGTGTAGTGTCGTGTCGTGTAGTGTCGTGTAGTGTCGTGCCGTGTCGTGTCGTGTCGTGTAATATCACGTCATGTCACGTCACATGTCATCACACCACATCATATCACATTACATCACATCACACCACACCACATCATATCACATTACATCACATCACACCACATCATATCACACCACATCATATCACACCACATCATATCATATCACATCACATCACATCACATCACGTCACGTCACGTCACGTCACGTCACGTCACGTCACGTCACGTCACGTCACGTCACGTCACGTCACGTCACGTCACGTCACGTCACGTCACGTCACGTCACGTCACGTCACGTCACGTCA